TCCAAAATTCTGATAATGGTGTTTCTTGTACAAACCATCTCAAACCAGCTTAATTCTTCACCACCCTGGTCTCTTGCCACCTCAGACACTTCTGGGTTCCCAGGCATGCACTTCGACCATTAGGTGGCCACTGATGATGATTTTCCTGCAACTGCGCACAGGAGATGCATCCTCCTGGCTTCGGGGTGTAGAGAGGAAGACTTTTTTGGGCAGAAGAGACTTTATATGTCTTTTTCTTCCAAAAATTCCTACTTCCTAGCTAACTTTTTTCCGCTTTAAAATAGGACAGGATTAGTTTATGTAAACTGACTTGGCTTGTGTGTGCTGGAAGTGTGTTGCTTTTCACACTGTTCCCACTATTCACAAACATACAAAAACCCTTATATGTTTACCATCAGGGGTCTGATCTATAGAAGCTTTCCATTAAACCAGACATATGGTACACAATAAATTCAAATCTTTTCTATATAACTCCATTTTGTTCATTTTAAATTATGACAAGACCATTTCTTAGAGTATAGTTTGGATTTGGTGAGTTTTGTGGTTTGCAGACAGGAGAGTTGGTCACAGAACTGTTGGCCTTATGATTTAGTTGCCCCCCCCCCCCCCTGGCTTTATGACCCCTGCCTAGGGTAGCAATTCTGCAAGCAATGTAGTGGTAGCCCTTGTGGTAACGCCTGTGCGTTCCACATTGACTTCAATGTTGCACAGTGTGATTGTGCCATTGTATGCTTGTATCTTTCAGTGCGTTTCACTTGATAGTTCGTTTTTGTTCGAGCATCAGGAAGAACTCCGCACGCTTGATGTCAGCTGATAGCGTCAACAGTGTAATCCCATTTTAATGTCTCATGGAATCATAGCCATAACCCATCTTCAGCTCTGAAGGCCTCTCCGCTCTGGCGAACCATTCTTAAAACTAGAACGACCCGGGGTTGTCTGCTTTATAGCCGAGCACAGCCTTTTTATGTTTACAAAAGATCTGCTACAAGTTTGGTAGAGATTAGAATAGAACACAGGTGCAGAGTGTAGGTAGACTGATTGTTTTACAATGGGGATTGTTTTTTAATACAATTGCAAAGGACAGTGTGTCATTTTCCATAGAAGCTGCCAGACTCCAGTTGTGCTGGTTAAAATCTAAATGTATCGGTTAATAGCTATAGGCAACCCAATAGCTTCCTTTGTTCCAGGCTTGTTTTTTTAATGACTGAATGCATATTATATGGCACATATATACATATAAATCTTTCCATAAGGTTAGAGGAAAGCTAAGTGTTTTGTTTTTGTTTGTTTTTTTTATGCCCGTGGTTTGAAGCTTTATGCTAGCCATACACCGATTTAGATTTTTGTACATATTTTCATATGAAAAATCGCATCATAACATTTCATAGTGCCATCAGAGACTGGACGATTTGCCATTCAAATTTTCCTTTTGATTTCAACATTTGATTTTGGAATAAAGTTTTCCAAAGGATAACCACATTCACTGTTTAGAATTTCATTAATTTGAAAAAAAAATGTCAATCCTGCGATCATGAATTTGACCCCATTTAACTATTAGAGAATTGAACAAACGTTCCGACAACAAAATTTTTGGAACAAAGTTCTATTGGTGTATGGTCAGTTTAGATTCCATGGGATACAAGAGACTGCTTAAAAAAAAAACAAAATACTGCATTATCTGACAAAGGAGTATTTCTGAAGAGACTTCCACAGTAAGATACATCGTCACCATGAAAGTATACTAATGTTATTTTAAAATAGTCAATTTGGCCAATGAAAGGTATATGCAGGCTATGTAATGTGAATTGCAAACACATTTTCTACACATTTATTTCAGGAAATGTTAAAAGACTTTTGTATTTGTGAATATTAATGGTTAAAGAGCACCCTGTCACAAAGTAAAAATAAAAAATAATACAGAAAAATTATAATGGCCATTTACTACATGTAAAACCTTTTTTGGTATTGAGTTTTTAGCTTTCAACATGTTCAATAGCTGCTTTAAAGTAAACCGATTACTGACCTCAGCAAATAAAACTATTCACGATTCCGAACTGTCATTAGATCAGAGAAGAAAGAAAGAATGGTGCAAGGTTGCCTTTTTGTGAAACACGCCTGTAAAAATGATCAATAGATCTAGAGAAAAAGGCAGCTGAATTTATATTCAATTTTTGCTGTTAGACTCAAGCATGTCTCGCCTCCCTATCAGTCCTATAAAGTGAAACTGTGGCCAGGCTATAGGCATTCAACTATTTACTTTTTATGAATAAGCTACAAAAGGGTTTACAGCCTAGCTTTGGGATCCTTCCCTACTTTCACCCTACCTCCCACTTGAGTGCCCCGCACTCTTAAGATATAATAAAAAAAACAAAACTCTATACATATCTTTTTTGCAGGTGTTTTGGTCTGGTGATGTCACAGGTCCTCTGTCCCCTTTTTCTTTCTCAGGCGGTGGGCAGGTCCTAAATACTGCAGAATGGCACCCCATCATTACGTGACTCCATAATCTGCAGTATTTTCCTATGAGCCCATTGCAGGGGTGGAGCTTTGACACCCTGGGCTTACAGAAAGTGGATTTAATGACATTTATTCTATAAGTGAACTGACACCTTAATGCTGCAGTGTGTCTGTGGGAGACTGCACCATTGAGATTCTTTGTCCATGCTAGAGTTGGTCATTAAAGACAAATCTAATTGATCTGTGTACCTGCAGTCACTGGTGGCAAAAGGTTTGTTGGCAGCAGATTCAGCAGTGGTGAGGCACATAAATATAGTAAGGGGAGGGTAAGCTGCATTTGCTGAACACAAATGCCAGTTATAGTAGGTGACCAGCTATGGGTGTCAGATAATTGCTTTGTGCTCATAGTGGAGCTTTAATTTGATGGCCAGTCTCATTTACCAATAGAGTGGCTTGGTAGGAGAATTGCTATTTAAGGACTTTTAAAGGGAAAAGCTGTGATTTGTGTATACATTTGCCTATATCTCTGGTACTACTGATCGGCGTGACACATTTTTTTCATAATTATAGTAGCCGTTTTTGCCCATTACATAGTTAGTCAGGTTGAGAAGACACAAGTCCATCGAGTTCAACCCATAGAGATCTGGAAAAAAAAAAAAAAAGCCTAAACAGGATGCTATGCCCACATTTACCCACTGTTGATCCAGAGGAAGGCAAAAAAACCCTATAAACAGGGTAAACAAATTCCTTCCTGATCCCATAAGGCAATCGGATATTCCCTGGATCAACAATCTCTGGTGCGTAATATACCTATAAGAACTCAATATATCCGTAATATTCTGTGCATTTAATATTAATAATACATCCAGATTGTTTTTTTTTTGGTTTTTTTTTTTAAACGGTTAGCTGAGCTCGCTGGAACTAGCTCCTGGGGGAGTATATTACATATGCAGGTTCCTATTCCTGCTCTACAGTACTACATGGTAGTTGTATAAAAATGCTCTTTCCTATAGTTCAAATCTGTGTCTGCCAACCCAGCAAAGACAATGCAATCTCTGTGCAGCTAGTATAGTTGTTAAGCAGAAAGCCTGAGTGATTGCAGTGAAATGGAGAAACTTCCTTTTTAGTGGCTATTTTAAAAATCTGTACATTTTAAAGAAGACTTGTACTGAGAGAAATATACGTCCTCTGAAGGTAGGACTCCTCAACAGTCGTGGCCTTCATATTCTCTGAGTACTGGTTTCTTTTAGGACAATAACAAATTGATCGATAAGCAAAACATTTTAAAGTTGTGTCAATAACTTCAATAATAACCTAGAATATGTGCTCCTTGAAAATACACTATGCTTTCCCTTAAACCTGTCTGATCAATGTTCCACCAGATGAGCCACTGCCAGTAGTGTTTTCCCCTTGCTCCACAGGCATTAGATTGTCACCCAATCAGGTTGATAATGGACTGTCATCTAATGTCTGCGGGCACTTTCAAGAGAAACTTCACCCTTATTTTAAAAATGACAACAAAGGCGCATTCATAAATGTTTAGCAATTGCAAACGGATACATTGCCGGCTTTTTATTCCTGCATACCTTATTTTTCTTTTCCTCCCCGTTCTTCTCTTAGTGGCCATTTTCACTAGGAGTAGATGAATCCATCTCTGTTTACATCCTGGAACATGTGACAATGCACATCATCTGGGGGGGGTGCCTTTCACCCTAGATCTCATGAGATTTTGCAGTTTACAGATGAGATTTCCTAGAAAGGCACTGGTGGTGTAGCCTTCACAGGATGCAGGGCTACATCACCGGTTCCTCACTCAATCAGGGAGTAATTTTTAAGTGAAAGCAAAATATGTTTAACTAATGAATGTAAGATGATTTCATATCAGCATGCAAAGCAACATGCTAATGTGATTTTTAGTGAAAGGGGGTAAAAGGACTGCTTTAAGTGGTCATGTTAGATTATTCATGTCATTGACTGCCCTAACCCTTCATTGTCAATGAATTGGTTAAATTATTAGAATAACCATAAATCAGACTGTAATTTTTTCCAGCAGCAGTGGGCGAGAAAGCTGTGGGTTTTTTTTCTTCTCTGCAGTTCAACAGGCTCATTGCAGCGTTTTCATGATAAAACTTAATTACATGTTAGGAGAACTCTCTAACACTCTATCACTGTGTTGTTCCTTGGTGACTGCTTGACTTGTGTAGCACTGCCAAAGTCAATGTGAACCAAGTTGCCTGTCTGTACATGGGATGTGTGTCACTACTTCCCACGCTTCCTCTCTGATGCGCTGCCTGTCAGTGGGGCAGTGTCTAACAAGTTAGCATAACCCAGATTCCCACCTGTTCTAACTTGATGCCCTGCATCGCGTTTAGAGTATTAGAATGTCATCTCAAGTATGAAAAGGAAAACATCTGCGAAGGCCTTTGAAACAATGCATGTCAAATCAGGTCTGCAGTTGTGAGTAGCACTGCAGGCATGTGCCAAACTGTAGTGGGGAAACCTTTCATTAACACATGTTTTTTTTTTGTTTTTTTTGTGTGCAGTACAGGATTGGACAGCTGTATATGATCAGCAAGCACAGCCATGAACAAAGTTCGGATGGAGAAGGGGTGGAAGTGATCATCAATGAGCCTTATGAAGACCCCATCCATGGCAAAGGGCAGTACACAGAGAAGAGAGTCTACCTGAACAGGTGTGCTATAAATGGAAAAAATTAGCACGCTGTTAAGTTATTATTGTAAAAATTTGACATGGTTGCTGTGCCCCATTTTCACAATCATAGTTCATAATATTTCATATGCAGAAGTGTAGTTGTTCCCTCTAGCAGATTGCCAATTTTGGCACAGCTGTTTCAGTGCTGATATTTCTCTCTCTGTAGGCCTCAATGTCAGGGATTGTAGCCAAAGATTACGTGATTTGTTGCCTAGATGTTATGTCGTGCTTGGAGGTGTAGGAGCAGCATTTATTCATTCATGGCAAGAAAGGAGGCACTTCATTTACTCGGAATAGTAATATGATTTGGTACTGTTGGCATTCCCTAATAACTTGTGTGTAGTATGAATTTTAATCCAAAGACTATATTTAGGGTGTAACATAAAACATGGTCACCTTCCCCAGCTCATCACCTTTAAATTGCTCCCCCACATACCTGAATCGCTGGGTTCTTCTTCCTGTAGTCTCCTGTTTCCATTTGAATTTAGTGTAGCTCTGCCTTCATAGCCATGCCATCTATTCACAGATCCATTCACAGTATCTGTTAATGGAAAAATTACCACGGCAGAGGGACTCTTAGATCTTGATGTAGAATCTCAATGACTTCACTGCACTTGTAGTCCATTGATTGCTTCCTCCAACCCTATAACTACAGGTCTGTACCTCGGTATGGACATGGGCCTGGAGGAACAGTGCAGGGGCCTGTGCATTGCATCCATGATCCATTGATCGCAGTTGCAAACTTTTGCAGGCTTCAATGCAAAAAATTGATAAATGCAAATTTTTTTCTTTCATCATTGTGCATTTATAATTTTTTTTTTTTTTTAAAGGTGGAATAGACCTTCAAATTAGTTTCAAGATGAGCTAAGGCTACTACCCTCTGAATAAATATTTATGTAATGTTGATAAGGCACTAAAAACTGTTTATGTTGTCATTACAGCCCTTCAATTGCCCTCAGTTCACTGGTGTGTGTTGTGGTCACCCCTTTCCCCATCCCATGATTGTTCCCATGATTGTACTTTGTACTACTTCTTTAGCAGTCACCACTATCTAAAAGTAGATGCTTGGGGTAGACATTTTTTTTTTTAAGTCTTTGCATTTCTCACAGTGTAAAATATTGTGGGGTCCCACAGTGATTTCATGCTTTCCAAAACCAGTTTAATTAGGGACATTATGAAATGTAAAGGTTAAAATTGAAATGTTAAGCTATAAATGTTTGCTGTGGATTGCTCTTTATTTTTGTCAGTCTACTTTTTTTCTAATGCTGTGCCTTAATGCCTTAAAGTGTCACCCCATTCAGTTATGTATAGAGTGGAGAAGACAAATTTCAGTTAGATTTTTATATCTATCTGTCCTTCCATTGGGGAGATTTGTCATCAATTTCTACCCTTATGATTCTGTACAAGAAATTGTGAGGAATGGTTGTCACAAGGACTGGAAGGAATGGGCAGCTTTTAAAACATTGTTAGTGGTTGTAACCCTTCTTACTTTGCTGAAAAAAAATGTTTGTTTTTGTCCCCAGCAGAGCGATTTCTCATCACTTTCTGACTTAACAAGAAAGTAAGGGGAAATCTCCCCAGTAGGGACTCTGTCAGCAATAAAAACCTGACCAAAGTTGTAAGCTTTCCCTATTCTGTCCAAAATAAAGTAAAAAGTTTTGTCTGACTCTTTCATATGCCTGACACTTGCCTGTGACCAAGGTGACAACAACCCTGTGTCTTCTTTCTTCAAAGATTAATCCGAGTGAGAATAATTGCTTACAAGTAGCGTAACAATGATACCTGTCAACATGTGAACTGTATGTAACTGCAATGAATAGTAATGGTGATGGCATGGCAATGCATGCAAAGCCGCTTCCAATGTAGTATGAGTGATGATCGCACTGATCAGCCATACGAGAAAACATCCAGTATCAGCATGCACAGGCTAAAGATGGGAGGGCATACAGGGAAGTGGCGGGGAGGGTGCAACTTGTTTCGGAATAAAAATAAAATGCACCCACACTTGCTGCATATTTCCAAATGTTTGCAGATATGCTCATTATGCATTTTGGCACAATCTGGGTCATATTCTGGTTTGTGTTGATGGGTTAGCTCATCACATTGCCTTCATCTAGCAGTAGAACTACCCCTTCAGTGTAAATTTAAAGATATACAGTAAATTTGAAGATGTAATATCGGTGAAGTCACCTTTTACTGAACCTAGTATAAAATCACTCTGGAGGGGCAGCACTTCTGAACGTACACCTCCCATCAGGTAAACTACTACATCTACAAGCACTGGATCGTAAAGCAGCCTCAGTAGAGCAAGCCCTATGCTTCCTAGGGTGTAATGCATTGGAGTTCCCCCTGGCATTAAGAACTGTTTGCAGAGCTCTTTCTCAGAACAGGATTTCTTTAAACACAGTATGAAGTTGAGCAGTTTAATCCTTTTCTTTTATGCTGGCTTTTCTCCACTCCATGCCATTTGTAAAACCAGCTGGTAATGAGCACAAAGCCCAACACAAACATAAAGAAAAAGAATGTTCCACAAGAACACAAAGCACAAAGGAATCCCCTGGTTTCAATTGTATATACTAGTGCAGTCAGTCCTTGGTAAGAGCAGTAGCAAACACCAATGTTTGCCAAGTTACCGTTCACAAGATCTGCCACTTTCCTATTTCAATGGAACATTACAGTAAAGCAAATATGTTGTTCCTGGCTGCCATGATTTATAGGAGCTTTTGCTACTACAAAAACATTTCACCGTTTTTTTATACAAATGAATGGTAACATTTCACAATACTACTTACTCCTGTGGAGTAATTAACAAGGCACATTGGGCCCTTTTGTAGGTTATGAACATATTTGTGTGGTAGCGTGCTCACCATGCTATTGTATTTACAAACCGCATCCTGAAAACATGGTGTGTCCAGTACAGATGCATCTGTGGTGCACAAGTTCTCCGATTTTGCCCATGCTAAAGGTACCCATACACAGTTCAAATTTAAGCCTGTTTTTGAGAAACTGGTCGAAATTCGCAACTTGTGTGCCACTGTTGGCACCCTTCTGATCGGCATCCCTCGATCAGCTGATTGAAAGAGCCGGTCAGAAAATCTTTGATCAAGCAGAGCCGGCAGCCAATGAGCTGCCCGCTCTGGTTGGGTATTCTGACAGGTGCCGGCGGGACCTGTCAGAATACAATGTAAACAGCAGGATTTCTTGATCAACAAGCTGTTGGTGTTGATGGAGGAATCGGGTCTTTTTGTATCATTCAGCCCGTGGGTTGAACGAAAAAAATAGATCAGTGTATGGCCAGCTTTAGACATTGGTGGGTACACTGCAAATATATTTTCTTAGGAAATGTGACATTTTTCCTAAGAGCGAGTCTGGAGCAGTGGCTACTTTACAACACACACCGGGACCATGGGGAACAAAAGTAGCCACCCTCCAGAAGCAAGGACAGTGTCAGCACCAATTCAGAGATGATTTGAGGATCTACAGCTGAGTAATACATAAATAAGATACATTTATGTTGATAGTTAAGGTATTTTAATGCATTTTTAAGATTTCACATCAGAGTTTAGTGTGACTTTTTTTTTAATGCCCATCTCTGATCAAAAAACCCTGGTGGAGGGAGGGAGCGGTGCCGCCTGCCCTGGCCCAGTAATAATATTAATTGTTCCCCCCCTATGGAATCTTCCACTGACCCTGCCGGCTGCGCCCGGGTCTTGCTTCTCCCCACTTTTTCTATGTCCCGCAGCCTGCTCAGTCCAGGTACTGACGAGATGCCCCGCCTCCTGCAGAGCCCGCACTGTACCGAGAGCCGTGCATTCCTTGTGACAGCCGCTGCTTGAGTCAGTGAGAGGTGGCCCTGGAGCCTCCGTGCTGCTTCAATGACTGCCCAACCTGCACGGCATCAGAGGGGCCCGGGGACCACCAAAATTTTCTCGTGGACCACCCGTTGGCGACTGCTGATGTAAGGAGTATCATGATTTGGAGCGATTTTTGTTTCTTCAGGCCTGGACTACTTGATTCATTTTTAAATGAACTGGTCCCTCTATAACATCAGTACAGTTTACAGGAGAATGTGAACCGTTAAAGAAACCTGGCATAGCAAATAGAGGCTGCCACTGCTGATCTCTCCTTCTGAAAGTATGTGGTGTCTGACTGACTTGGTGACCTTCTTCCTTTGTACTGTGAGTCACATATCAAAGGCCATATGCAGTTTAAGGGGTCTGGCCTCACTCTGACTTTTCTGATCTTCATACTTGGTCCAGGACAGTGACTCAGAGATGAAGCCATAGGACCTGCATAACAGCCAGGCAATTCACATTATTAGAAGAAGATAAGCAATGGCATATTTTTCTTATGAAAGGTTTACTGTAATAAAAGTTAAACAGAAGTTGGTGACTACTTTCTTAGTCACTAATCCAGAACAAGTATGCAAAGTCTGCATACTTGTTCTGGGTAAGTGAAACTAGTGCAACCATACACACTGCATTGTGCTGGACCATCTTCTTGCTAGAGTTGGGTTCCTCAGATTTCCCAAATAGATTCTTGAGGGAAGGCTTGTGATGTCATCCTCACCTAGGCACCACGGGTGGAGGCCAGGATGTAGGGTAAGTGTATTATTTCACTGATCAAGTGCAGTGACCAATAACAACCAATTAGAACCCTTCCATAGAGTTGGGGAGCTGCTCAGTCTTTCTTGGTCCTCGGTAAACTTGGCTACTCAGTGATGTAATCTAATCTAACTTCAATGGATCTGTGTAAACCCTTGTCCTGCCTTCACCATGCACACCACTCTCCTGCAGAAAATGATGAGTGAGAGAAACTATCACCCTGAACCTGCAAGAAATAGCCACCTTTAGAAACTCTGTGCTAGCATCATTATACACAAAAGAGTTTGATAGCAGATTGCCATTTTGTAAAGTACAATAATTATAAGGTAAAATCTTTTTCCATCTATTGTGCTCCATGTCTTGTATAAGGCAGTGT